GTGCACAAACCTGAGGATCTGCTGGCTGAAGTTCTCCTTCTGCTCGGGGCTGACGCGGGCCGAGGGGAAGCCGTCCTGCTGCATGGCCTCCTTGATCCAGACGCTCAGGTAGCTGAAGCAGTGCTTGTTCAAGGCAAAGAGGATTTCTGCAAAGTGATCCATGAGGCTGCGGGAGGCCTGGCCGCCGACACCCTGCCACAGAGCAGACAGACCCTGCTGAGCCCCTGGTACCACCCTGCCTGCACCCTGCCATGCTGCCAGGCTCTCTGCCCCCAGCTCCGCAGGGGTGCCAGCCGGGAATAGAGCCCAAAGCTGCCTGGAGAGCCCACGGTCCTGGCTTCTCTCCCCTCCAGCACTGCCTGCAGCAGCACTTTGCCATTCTCATGCACGACCTGTCCCACCGGGGCGATCTCTCCGCAGCGGGGCAGCAGCTCTGTCTGCAACACAGAACCCAGCTTGCTCAGTGCCAGAGCTAGCTCCACATTGCAGCACTCTTGCCTGACCCACTCCTGCCCTCCCGTCCCTTGAGGGGGGCTGCAGCGCATCCCCTTGGGGCTGCACAATGCCACGATACTCACAAAAAAGCCGCAGGATGCTTTGACCGTTGGAGCCTCAGGGAACTTGAGCGAAAGGACACCTGTGGGCAGGAAGTGCTCAGGTGAGCAGCCAGGAACCCCACAAACTATCCCAAATCAGCCCTGCGGTCCCCAGCCCCTGGCTGGCCTGCGCTCCACTCTGCAGGGGGAGCAGGCTGGCTTCTCCGCAGAGCGATTTGGAGCGCATGCCCGTGGCCCTGGTACTCACCACACTGAAACACTGCTTTGACATCCAGGTTGCTACACAGGAAGAGGTCCGGCTTCCTTTTCAGAGCCTGCAAGGCACACAGACAGGCAGCATGAACCCAGCGCTGCAGAGGCAGCCAGGAAGCCTCTGAGGAAACCAGTGCCCCAGACAGCCTCTGCCTGGATGCACACTTACCTGGGCACACCCACGGTGAACAGCAGGTTCACACAGCACAGCAGGAAACCATCACTTTCCCCCCACAAGGAAATGGCAATCAAACAGCCAGGCAGTTTGCTATGTTCAGGGACCACCAACCCCAGAACCTGAGGACAGATGCCATGGCGGCGTACACACAAACACTTTGGACACAGAGACTGGACAGAAGGCTCCTGTCCCACCAGAGCAGACCAGGCAGCAGCAGCACTCCTGGGACATGGGCAGCCACTCGGGGCCCAGCAGAGACCAGCCACCTCTGTGCTTTGCTCCTGTCCTCCTGAAGATGCTGCTGTCCCTGGAACTGGTTCACACTAACCCCAGACTGGACCAGCAGCTCGCTCTGCTTGGGCTCCAGGGCACAGATGACAACAAGCTGCCAACAGTGCTTGGCAAGTCCCAAGCAAGTCTGAGATCAGAAAGGCTTTGGGTTTTTCCTACCACTTGGCAATCCCACCAGCCACTGTGGGGGTCAGGCACTGCCAATGGGGACACCCTGAGCTGTGGCACCCCGTGCAATGGCTTAGTTGCCCATGTGCTGGCACTGGGCAGTTACTAGATGGAAACGTTTCAGTCTCCACTTGCCCTTCCATGGGAAGGGTTTCTGTCCTGCCACATAAGGCAGTGACACGTGTGCCCTGACCACCACACCACGATGCCCACCGCTGCAGGCCAGCACTGGAGATGGCAGCGATGCCTCCTGCCCTGCTGTCACTGTGACACCAGGGGCAGCAGCCACAGCCCTGGTGTGGCCCTGCTCTGTGCCTGGGGTTCGCGAGGAGGGTACCAGGGCGGCAGCCCTCGGGATGAGCTGTGTGCAGGGCCACTGCCTCCCTCTGAGCCTGCTCCTGGGGATGAAAGCAGGGACAGCTTTCAGCCAGTGGTGCCCAGGATGCACGGCCATCTGCCCACAGCCATGATCTCTACTTGGAGCAAAGTGGACTTATTTCCCACCCCTTCTCCAGGGAAAGACCACAGCCATCTGCCTGATGCAGAGAACATATGCTGGAGACTGAGAAGCTGAGTAGCAGGTTTCAGGGTCACCCCATCTCCTTTCTCTTTGTATCACATGCTGCAAGAGACGACTCAGGTTTGGTCACCGAAGGCATCACTGTACCAGGCGGAGTGGGAACAATCGCAGGGACCTGTTTCCCTGCTAGACAGAAGTGGAGACCTTTACTGGGACGATCAGAGGCTGCATTATACCTGTGTGTGTATATACAGACTGTGTGCACCATTCCCTCCTGATGTGCTAGCACCAGCACCGGAAGGCTAGCTAGCAGATGGGCAATGGTTTAAAAACACTTCCACTCATCATGGCTGCTGGCATCTAGTCAGCTCCATATCAGACAACGCTTGCAAGACACATCACATTTTTCACCATGGGGGACTACTCCCACTGCCCGCAGCCCTGGTCTGGGCTCCAGCGCAGTGACCACAAGCCTCTTCCCCAGTAGCATGCTACTCGAGATCAGCTGGCTTTCACAATTCCACCCAAGCTGCAGGTTCCTCCACTCTGCCCGTCCCAAGGGGGTGGTTTTAACCCATGTCCTGCACACTGCAAGACTATTCCGCTGCCACAAGGGTCTTCCAACGCACTTAGGTTGCCACCTACCTGCACGATGCTTCTCCCAGCCAAACCAGACCCATGGCAGCCCCCAGGGTCTCCTGAAGGCTCGCTGCAGCACCTGCGCCTCACTCCATCAGTGCCATGGGGGAAAGCGAGCCCTGGTATTGAGAGGGCTCCATCCTATAGGACACCTCCACCAAGGGAGCACAGAGTGCAAGCTCAACCTGAACCCACGTGCACACATCTAAAGTAGACAGAGATGCTTTTTACCCCCATGAGATGGGGCCCTGTGGAGCTTCTCCCATTAGCAAGCAGCACCAGGTAGGTCCAGCTGCTCTTTCCCAACACCAGGAGCCCTGCTCCAGCTCTGGGGCCTCTTACTGTCAGTCTGTCCTCCCCTTCTGCCAGAGCAGCTCTGCTCACATGTTCTGGGATGGGACAGGTCTTTAGATGCTTTCAAATGTCCTCCCACATCCTCTACTGCAGACGCAGGCACTGGCACTCTGGCAAGAGCTGTTCTACAGGCTGGCACACGAAGGACGTCGGGTTCTTCTCCACGGCAGCGGGGACAACCCCAGAAACCCCAGACAGGTCTTCAGAGCAGGCTCCTCTTCTGTGCCTGGCCCTTCAGAGGCAGGGACGCATGGAGGGGACACCAAACCCCACTCCTCCAGCAGACAGGGGACAGTGAGGGGGCTGCACGGCCAGTTTCTGCAGCAGCCCAGAGCACATAGATCAAGCCCTTGTGTCTGGCACCACGATCTCTTCCCCAACTACACGTCTGGCAGAGCAGAGCCTCCAGCTTTGGAAAGGGTACAGGAGCTTGGCCAGGCACCATGGCCAGGGAGGAGCAATCAGCCCCTGCCTGC